ACCCGATCACGGATGGACAAACGGAACGCATGAATCAGGAGATCGAGCACTATCTCCGCATCTACGTCAATTACCATCAGACGGACTGGTCGGAGTGGCTGGGAATGGCAGAGTTCGCATACAACGACAAGATGAACACGTCTACCAAAATATCGCCATTCTATGCGAATCACGGATATCACCCGTGGAAGGGAGTGGAGCAACGGATGGAGTCAAGGAACGAGTCGGCGGAGGAATTTGTAAAAAGAATCAAAGAAATACAAGACGAAGCAAAAGCAGCACTAGAAAAAGCAAAAGAAAAAATGAAAAAATACTACGATAAACAAAGAAAAGAAGTTCCGGAGTTGAAGGTTGGGATGAAGGTGTACATAGAAGGGGAAAATATTGAGACGGATCGACCATCAAAGAAGATGAGCAACAAGAGACTAGGACCATACAAGATATTGGAGAAGGTTGGAGCGGCTGCATGGAAGCTGGATTTACCGGACACGGACCGAAGACATCCGGTGTTCAACGAGTCACTATTGACACCCTATCACGAACCACCCCCCCATCGCCGAGAGAAGAGGCCTGTAGCCAAGATGATCGGAGGAGCAGAAGAGTGGGAAGTCGAAGAAATCGTGAAAGAGCGAAAAGTCGGCCGAGGAAAACAGTACTTGGTCAAATGGAAGGGATGGCCGCACAGCGAGAACACCTGGGAACCATCACGACACCTTACCCACGCGAAGAAGATCCTGAGAGATTGGCAGAGGAAACAATCCAACCCAGACACACGCATTCGCCTCCTGCCAACTTTCGAAGCCGGACATTGGGATTATCTCATCCATCGCTACAAACCCAAAGACGAGCGCCTTCCATACCCCCAGCGACAACTCTTCGATCCCTACGAAAACGTCTTCACGCCCATCGGCCTAGTCGATGAGGACATCGACCCTAGAGAGGGGGTAATGTCATAACTCGACCCTTTTTTATCTTATCATCGGCGATCTTATCTTATCTTGGCACGACTTATCTTATCACGGATCACGGCATCAGACGGTCCGGGCTAGGGGTTCCAGGGGTTATCTCTATCGATTCGAGGCTGCGCGACATATGCTCCGGAAGGTTCTACTACAACCCATGACCAGTGCTCCATGCGGTACATAGCCCTATGACTCATTAGTTGTAGATATGACTCAGACTGGATTTGGGTATAAATACTGTAGCTACTTGGTTGTATTCTCCAGTCTTCGAATTCACTTCTCTTTTCGACTTTGTTTTTGGGTTGATTGTCACAACAGCCGCGCTTCAAAGGGGTACTATCAGGGTTCGAGTTGGCAAAGAGGGGACCAGAACAAGATAAGGCATTGCAGCACAAAGATCAAGCTGACACAACGACAGTAATAACGGATAAGCGAGCACCACAAAGCAAAACAGAGGATCAAAGATCGAGCTGGATGAACGAAATAGTCGAAGAACAGGTGTTAGCAGTGACAGATAGGATAAGCGAGGGAAACCATGAGGAAGGTACAGCGGGGAGCAAGGCAGACGTACACACGAGGACATCAAACCCGTTCAAGAAGGAGCGCGTCGAAGAGATATTGAAGCTGGTAACAATCGGACCAGACATCACAGAAGCGCAGAGGGAAATGGTACGCACATTCATAGCAAGCTATGCGGATATATTTGCGCTGTCAATAGCAGAAGTCCTACCGGTAGAAGGAGCAACATACGCACTGAACATACCACCAGAAGCGAAGTTCAGCACCAAGGTACATCAAAAGCCAATGACGCCACCGCAGGAGGAGTACTTGCACGAGCAAACAAGGAAACTAGTTGAAGCTGGAATCCTGCGACCCATTCACCCAAGAGACGTGAAATGCGTATTGCCAATCAAACTAGCCAAGAAAGAACACGAAAGCGGGGGCCTATCACACGACGAGCTGAAACAAGAACTCAACGAAGCATGCAAACGAGCGGGGTTGCCTCGGCCATACGACATGGAATATTGGGACAAGAAAACGACAACGGAGAAGCCACAAAACCAGAAGTGGAGAATATGCCAGAACTTCCACGAGCTGAAGGCGCTACTCAAGGTGGTGCCGGTACCACAGGGAGATATAAGAGACAAACAACGCAGGCTAGCGGGACACTGGTACGTATCAGTATTTGACTTCGCATCAGGGTTTTTCGCGCTACAGGTGGACGAAAAAGCGCAACCGTACCTGGTAATGTTCATACCAGGAATGGGATACTACGCCTACACACGGATGCCATTCGGACTGACAGACGCACCAACGGAATTCGGGGCGATGTGCGCAGACAAGCTGAGTGATCTACTTATAAAAATAATGGAACTATTTGTGGATGATGGAGGCACAGCAGCAGACACATTCAAAGAGATGCTCGACAAGCTAAAACAAATCTTCGAAAGGATAAGAGCAGAGGGGCTATCACTATCAGCAGCCAAGACAAAGCTATTCATGACAACGGCGGTATTCGCGGGTGCGATGGTCGGACCAGAAGGACTGGCCCCGGACCCAGCAAAACTCACAGCCATAGTTGGGTGGAAAACACCAGAAAATGCAACGAACTTAGCGGCCTTCCTCGGCCTAACAGGGTATTTCCGGGACATCATCAAGAACTACGCACGGGAAGAAGCGCCGCTCAGAAACCTGCTGAAAGAGGTATCAATACCGAAGAACGCCAGCCGGCAAACGTACCGCACAATAATGAAGAACTACGACTTGAGGCCGCGGTGGAAGATTGAGCACACCAGGTGTTTCCTTAAGCTCAAACAAAGACTAATATCAGCCCCAGTCTTGCGCGCCCCGCTATACGACATAGTACACAAACACCCATTCATAGTAACAACGGACGGGAGCAAAGACGCGTTCGCGGGAGTCCTATCACAACGGATGGAGTCGCGAACGGCGGAAGGGAAAGTAGTCGTGAGGAGGCACCCAATAGCATTCGCCTTGAAACGGACATCGGCAGCAGAGGAGCGGTATCAACCCCACCTCTTGGAATTTGCCGCACTCAAATTCGCCCTAGATAAGTTCTCGAACATCGTGTGGGGACAGCCAATATGGCTAGAAACCGACTGCCAAGCATTACGCAACATAATCAACAACGAAAAGCTCAACGCCACACACACGCAATGGCTAAACGGGTTACTGGGATATAACATAGTAGGAGCGGAACATATCAAAGGCTCGACAAACGCGGTAGCGGATGCACTAAGCAGAGCAGCGGAAGGAACCCCAAAGGAAACGGGCGATGGAAGCGAGTGGACCGTCTCCCCGGACTGGGAAACAAGGACCGGATTGGTGAACGATCTATTCGCAGTGAACGCAGCTGACAAAGACTTAGAATGCACAGTGGTACCACTGCTGGAAGGCATAAGCGCGTTATGAGAACGCTACAAGCACAAACCAATGTACCTGCAAATAGTGGAAGCAATCACAGAGCTGGACCTCGAGAAGAGCATAGCGGACAGGAAAAGAGCAAGACACCGCGCATCGCAATACTTCATAGAGGGGGGCAAACTGTGGCGCACGGGAGGAGGACCCAAACTACGGGCAAGGTCAAGAAGAGAGTGCATAACGAGAGAAGAGGCATACAACAAGGCAGCGAAAGCGCACGCAGAAGGGGGCCACTTCCACAGAGACGCCGTAAAACTGACACTGATGGACAGGTACCACAGCCCCGGGATGGACGAGTCAATAATGAAAGCACTCACGGACTGCGCAAAGTGCAAGGGATTTGGTCCAGCAAATCTCCACGTGCTTATGGAACCCATCACGAGAAGGCAGCCGTTCGAGCTAATCGTCGGAGACTACCTGTCGATGCCAGATGGGAAGGGCGGATACAAGACCATAGGACTGTACCTGGACGTATTCTCACAATTTGTGTGGGGATTCAAGCACAAGGAGCCAGGATCAGCCAAGACAACAACAATGGTGCTAGAGAACATCTTCGGGAAGTTCCACAAGGCGGAAGCATTCATGTCCGACAATGGCCGACACTTTGCCAACAAGGAAGTGGAAGCGCTATGCGAAAGAAGACAGGTCAAGTTCCAGAAGGTGGCAGCATACGCCCCATGGATTAACGGACTAGTCGAAGGCACAAACAAGCTGCTGCTACACATACTGGCAAGATTATGCGCACTGAATGTTGGGGAGGATAACTGGAAGTCGTCGAAGAAGGACAAACTGCCAAGACAGTGGCCGGACCACTTTGAGAGGGCAATAGAAATCTTAAACGACAGGATCCTGCCAGCAGTCAAGTTTTTGCCAAGAGAAATGCTGTTTGGAATACAACAACAAGACGAGGACAGAGAGAGCGACGCACCGGACAAAGAAACAAAGGAAGACAAAGCATTACTACACGTGGCGTACGCAGAGCAGATGCGGCTAGACGGATACGCCGAACAAGTGAAGTACGCAATGGGCCAGAAAGCGGCGTTTGACAGGAGGGTACTCAAGTCGAGAGCGGGAAACATGGTGTTCAGGGAAGGAGAACTAGTACAGGTCTTCCGGAACGACTTGGCGGAAACGGTCAGCAACGACAGGAAACTAACGTGCAGGTGGACGGAGCCGCAACAAGTGAAGACACGGATAAGGAACTTGTACACACTTGAGTCAGTGGAAGGAATACCATTAGACGGGCGCTACAACGCAAGAAGACTACGACAGTATCGACCAAGGAGAGGCACACCGCTAGCGATAGCACAAGAGGAACGCGAGAGAGGAAGGGAAGAGCGAGAGGAGGACAAGAACAACGAGCGGACGAAGGAGATCAGAAGGCAGGAAGCAGAAGAGATAGCGGACAAAGAGAGATGGCGGGTACAGCAAGCGGAGAGAGAGCTACAGGGCGGAAGAGGCGACGAGGGCGTCGCCATTTAAAGTGGGGGCACATGGAGTAGGGGTCACGTGCACAGGCACGTGACCTGGACGGATCACACTCAGGCAGATAGTCACACGAAGGGGGAGGAAGCCATCATCATTCGTTAGCATCAGGCCACTAGTCCAACGGGTCCACTGCGCCACGCGACAAGCCGTGTGGTGGACCACCTCTCTCAGTTAGCCTCGAGATGATTCAAGGACCATCATCTTTGACCAGGGACAGCATGCTGAAGACACCACGGTCGGATTGCGTGGTGCAGACTCGAGTGTGTGGATAATGCTCGTTTTGCATGAAACCTTGTCCCGGTGGTAGGCTGCTCTCTATTACCTACCAAATCCATGTCGGGCTTTGAATGACCGGATGAGTCTGGCTGGCTCTTGAGAATCTCTGCAACATCTGTATGGAAAGAGCTCCCGATCTGCTATGGAACGCCACATCAACGCGGCTGAAGACTGAGTTGGCATGATAGGTTGGTCGAGTGTCCTGGTTCCTTTTGGGTTCTATCTCTCTCATGTATCAGCCCAGCCAACCCAACTGCACGGTAGACTTATTACAGACCCACTGAATCATGCCGTTTACGATTTGCAACAACACAACCTCGACGATGTGATTTGTGAGCCCATCAGTTTTGCGCGCGGCTCCACTTTGGATAAATGCTGACCTTACTCATGCCCTGGAATTTGCTTCTACTGCCATTTGGATTTTACTGTCGTGCTTTTATCTTGCCATCCACATATTTGTAATTTCTTCGCTGCTCAATCCTATCTTATCTCGAAACGGTCGATCTCGAGGGCGTTGTCTTGTTTTTCTTACTGTGGAAATCGAATGACGCAAAAAGGTCCGCGATCATTGTCAAATGAGGTACCGGCCTTGTCCTATAAAGCATGCGCGCCATCATTCCGAATCCTGATCCCTCTTCATTTCCTCTCACCATGTCGTCCAACGATACGAAGATCTCCGAGTTCAACGATCACGAACAGAACGTATCTGGCTTCGACCGGGACGAACTGCAGCTGGTAAACATACCGCAAAGAGCACGACCTGGGAGTCGGACACACCCTACGCACTGGACATGACTGGTAACGTCTATCATGATGACAAACTGGATTGGGCTGCGGGTATCTTTGCCTTGCTCTGCATCTGTTCCACGAGACCGGGCTTGTCCTTCATCGTGCGAACGGTGTAGAGTAAGCACAAAGATTGAGATAATACCGCTCGAACCTGAACAGTGTTCATACCTGCGTAGGGAAGCCCCCAGCGTGTCATCTTTTTTTTTCACTCCCCATGGGGAGTTTCCGCAGAAATCGCTGACGTCCTATTAGCAAAAACTCGGATATAAGCAGGTGCGAGTCTCATCTTGTCATGACCAGTGTCCTGATACGTGCCACCAGCAACTGCACCGTAGCTGGAGTCTCATAGAGAGCTTCGCGGCGAGCTTCTGTGCTCTGAATTTTGTCGGCGGTGTCCGGTGCGCTTCTCTCATGTCAAGATAAGATATCTTTTGACGATCATCAGTTCTGCGTTCTTTCTCGGACTTTTGGCGGGAGGCCCTGCAGCTCTATGGTATGCTGACTGGAGCCATTCATGTCTTCCCTCAATTATTGTGCAGGTCCTCATATATCATCACTATCATCTTCATGCTTATCACAGCCGCCGTACTTGCCGAAATCTGCTCCGCGCTTCCGCTCAGTGGCTCCATCTACATCTGGGCGGCTGAAAGCGCGGGTCCCAAGTATGCTCGCTTCTTTGGCTTCATCGTTGCTTGGTGGTCGTGCACTGCATGGTCTTCCTTTGTTGCGGGGAACTGTCAGGTGTGCTGGTACGCCTTTTGACCAAGCCTTTTCTAACTCGGCTTCCAGACCACTGCAAACTATGTTGTCTCTCAGCTCGCTGTGTGGGAAGTCGAGTTTCCAGGAGGCACATTCAACGATAACATCAAGTGGAGGGCCTTCGTCTGGGCGATTTCTGAGGCTTTGCTTGTCATTTCGGTGGCCATCAACTACTTGCCTCCCAAGTGGTATTCAGGCATCTTCCGATTTTCGGTCGCGTTGATCATGGTGGACTTTCTCTTGTGCTTGATCTGGCTCCCGATTGGAGTCTCGAAAACCTATGGGTTCCGGACAGCCCAGGAAGTGTTCACGTCCACCTGTACGTTAATTATCCCCGGCATGAGTTATGGGAGCGGAACTGACGGCACCACAGACAATGGAACTGGCGCCCCCGCTGGATGGAATTGGATACTATCCTTGTAAGCTAGTCGCAGACTTGATGGGATGAAGCTCATACTCGAAGCTTGTTCACTGCGGGCACTCTGACAGGTTTCGACGCATCAGGTCATATCGCAGAGGAAACTAAAAATGCGAGGCACGTTGTTGGCTGAATATTTCTCTGGGAATATTTCTGACCCGTGCACAGTACTGTGGCGGGCAAGGGCATCCTAACCAGCGCTTTCGCCACTGCTATATTTGGTTTCGCGACAGCCATCCTCTTCTTGTTTTGCACTCCCGATCTAGATACCCTCTTTGCACTGCAGGCTCCACAGCCGTTTGTCCAGATCTATGCGCTTGCCCTCGGCAAAGGAGGCAGTGTTTTCATGACCATCATTGCTGTCATTGGTCTTATTTTGGTTTGTAGATCATGTGACCGTCAAACATCTCCATATTGACGACTTTTCAGAACACCAGCGTCGCTATTGTCGCTGCCTCGCGGCTGATTTTTGCAGTCGCCAGGGACGGGGTGCTGCCTATGTCGCGCTGGATCAGCCAAGTCACCCACGACGGTCAACCCCGGAACGCCGTCACGTTGATCTTTGTCTTCGCGGCACTGCTGCTCTGCACAATCCTACCCAGTCAGGTCGCGTTCACCAGTCTGGTCAGCGCAGGGGGTGTGCCAACGATCGCCGCCTACGGACTGATAGCACTTTTGCGTCTCACAATGACCCCCAATGATTTTCAATCTCCGCACTTCCGACTGGGGTCGTTCGCCAAACCTTTTTACGCGAGCGCGGTCGTCTTCAATGCTCTGATATTCGCTGTGATGATCTCACCGTTTTATTTCCCGGTGACCGGCGACTCATTCAACTTTGCGGTCGTCATTTTTGGGGCGGTCACCTTGTTTGGGATAGCGAGTTGGTACTGGATTCCGGAGGACAAGTGGCTTCGTCGCGAGGTTGTGCTCCAAGTCATGAATGCTGCCGAGTAGTTTAGCCCAAGGCGTTTGCATGAATTCCTATAAGCGATGATACAAGTGGTTGTATGAAATACAAGGAGCACGAGTGTGTGCCTTTTGAGGTGACATGCCATCCATCAGTCCTTGCGCAAAGACGGATGCAAGATGTACTCGTGTAGCGCTTTCCCAGCGGCGACCTGGCGGAGATGTGAGATGGCTGCTTTCAGCAACGACGGAAGACTAACCATAGGGAAAACATGTTCCTTGCGCTCTACAAGGCACTCCATGAGGATTGGTTTGCTGTTGTCGTAGTTGAGGAACTCGTCCATTTTTGACGCCAAATCTTCTGCCTTGTCGCAGCGGAGAGCGTGAACCCCCATCGCACGAGCCAGGGCGACGAAATCAGGGTTGGTCATCCGAGTGTGCGAATATCGAGCAGAGTAGAACAGATCTAGAACCGTTCAGGCAAGATGAGGAGAGTCGATGAAGAGAGCGCGTACCTTGCCACTGTAAAACCATGCCTTGGAACTCATTATTCATCACAAGCACCTTGACACCAATCCCGTACTGGGAAGCAGTGGCGAGCTCCATGGCAGTCATGCTAAAAGACGCATCTCCGTCGATGTCAACCACTATCTTTTTCGGAGCTGCGACCTTGGCGCCAATGGCAGCAGGAAGACCGAAGCCCATAGTCTGCAAGGAGTCAGGCAAGAAACCATGGTGAGAATAGAAACGCACACCGAGGCCACCCGAGGTGACTAACGATAGCGGTTGTGTCCATCGATAGTGTTGAGCAGCCCACATTTGATGCTGCCCAACGCCGGTAGTCACAATCACATCCTTCTTGCGGTCTCCGACTGCTTTGTCAAGGGCCTCGATCACTTCTTGGGGCTTGATCTTCTCTCCCGCTTTGCTCGGGACATAGGTGAACGGATACCGCTCTTTCCAGCCCTTGATGTCGTCGAACCAGGCTTTCCTCGGCGCACTCTCGATGTGTGAGACCAATGCACCCATGTTTTGCACGACGTCTCCGAGGACGGGAATGGTCGCTTCAATAACCTTGTTGATATTTTTGGGCAGAATCTCGAAGTGTATGATGCCCCCTTCGCCTTTCGAAGCGGCAGCTCGGGCTCCCGGCGCGAAGGTGCTCAACGTGCCGGTGACACGGTCATCGAACCGGGCACCGAGAGCGAGAATGACATCCGCATTCTGCATAGCGCGGTTAGCGTATGCCGATCCGTGCATTCCGAGCATGTGCAGGCTCCGTTCATTCATCTCGTCGAACGCTCCCAGACCTTGAAGAGTAGTGCAAACGGGGATATTCCCCTTCTCAGCCAATTCTGCGAGAAGAGCGGGCCCCTGCGGAGATGAAAGCACGCCGGCACCGGCGTAAATCACCGGTCGTTGAGCAGCGTTAATGAGGGCAGCAGCTTGAAGAATCGCAGCTGGGTCTGTTGGAGGATCCGGAAGAGCGAGAGGATTTACTGGCAAGCCCAAAGCATCATGGTTAGGTGTGGTGTGTCGTGCGGGGACCGCAGATCGAAGAATGCCTGCGGTGACATCCTTCGGGAGATCCACGAGCACGGGCCCAGGCCGTCCAGAGGTAGCAATCTTGAATGCTTCGTTTATACGTCTAGGAAGCTCCGCAATGTCCTTCACCATAACGTTCCATTTCGTGCAACTCCGCGAGATACCGACAATGTCTGCCTCCTGGAAAGCGTCTGAGCCAATGGCGCTAGTGGCGACCTGGCCAGAGAACACGACAAGAGGAATCCCGTCGGAAAGCGCATCTTGCATTGGAGTGATGACATTGGTGGCGCCGGGTCCAGAAGTCACAAGGACGACCCCCGGCTTCCCAGACACACGGGCATAACCCTCGGCCATGTGCCCTGCTCCTTGTTCATGCCTCGGGAGAACGAAATCGAAGTGAGAGGAGTTATAGATGGCATCAAAGACAGGGAGGATGGCGCCCCCAGGATAGCCAAAGATTTGTTTCACGCCGTGTCGTAGCATCATTTCATGGAAGACTTCTCCTCCACTGAGACCAATGAACGAGTGATCCATCGGTTCATTGGGAGGAGGCCCGTAGTGGGGAGTGGAGTTGTTGGGTACGGTGCTGCCAGGGGGTACTTGTTGGAAACTGGGCGAAGGACGCGCTGATGGCGCAGGTGATGCGCCAAGCTGGGTGGAACGCGATATGGTGCGCGAAGGGGTGAAGCGCACAGCACGCAAAGCTTGCCTTGGTCGCAAAGGGCGCAAGAACATGGTGGTACGAGTAAGGGTTGGGATCTCAAACCCGCGAGGCGAAAGGTGAGTCAATTTCGAAAAGTCACGCGCCTCATGACGGCGGAAGAACGGTTTACGTTTTTGTGATGGATGTATTATGCGTAGGAGCTACCTAGCGAGGAATGCATGCAGCTCTCGAAGTGTGAAAGGAGAATACTCATTCAAGTTGAGCCAGCTAAGTAAATACGAGGACACAATGACGGGTATGTATTTCCAGAATTATAGGATCAGGCACTTGCTGCCGTGTGATCTCTTGCCCTTGTTGCTGAGCAAGGCGGCACGAGTCGCATACTGGAAGACCTCTTTGACACCCTCACCGGACTTGGCCGAGCACTCGAGATAGTTGCGGGCACCAATCTTCTGAGCAACAGCTTGACCCTAGGAGACCATCATCAATCATGGAAGACCAGTGAGCGTACATGTAGCTTACCTCTTCGGGAGTGACGGGTCTCTGGTTGGTCTTGCGCAACTCTTCTATGACACGAGGATCACGACGCAAATCCTTCTTGCAGCCGACGAGGATGATGGGAAGGCCCGCGCAGAAGTGCATGACTTCGGAAATCCACTATACACAGGTTTAGTTGTCAGGCACAGCAGTTGCGACGACGAAGCGAAAAAACATGCCTTCTCTTGGACGTTGTCAAGCGAGTCGGGGCTGTCCACCGCGAAACAGATGAGGATGACATGAGAGTCGGGGTAGGAGAGAGGACGAAGACGATCATAATCTTCTTGGCCAGCGGTATCCCAAAGTGCCAACTCCACGTGCTTGCCGTCGACTTCGACGTCGGCCACGTAGTTCTCGAAGACAGTAGGGACATAGACCTGTGGAGGGTATGTATGAACTTGAGAATCAAACGGCGCTACGAAAGAGGAGTACCTCAGGGAAGGTGCCTTTGGAAAACACAATCAAGAGACAGGTCTGGATAAGGAATGAGAGGGAAAGAAGGGGAAGCTAGCATGCGGTCATCAGACCTTGCCACAGGCACCGTCTCCGACAATAACAAGCTTCCTTCGAATTTCAGACATGGTGGGGTAGAGGCAAGGGAGACGATATGGCGTGGTCACCGTCGCTGTCGAGGTGGCTGTACAAGTCACATGATCTGCTCCCACAAACAACTTGAAACATTGGGGGCTGGTGGCGGACACCGGAGGTGAAGAAACAAATCCATTGCGATCACACGGAGAGTCGTCTACGCATAAAAGAGGTTAGGAGAGCAAGATATTTGTATTATTGCCACGAGTTGGGACCATAAAGAATTCGAAATTTCGCTGGGGCTAGCACTGTAGGGACCTCATTTATTCTCCGCAAAAATCACGCGTACTAGAGGTTCCATTTTCAGCGTTCTATATGTGAAAACAAAAAGATACTAAATATTGACACCAGTGTACCAACCAATTTGTGCCGGAAACAGGCGTCTTTTTTCCCATATAGTATTAAATTGCTGCTCAGCACATTACACGTCCTGTGCACATTTGACCATTTTTCACCCAATCTTTATGCACAAATGTCCAAAATTCTGGGCTCCAACAAGTGTTAGGATACAGTGCTTTACCACAGGAATTCAGCATCCAAAATGACTGTTGTGAGTTGACTAGTAAACATGAGCTGTGATGCTTTGGGTTGTACACTCTGTAGACAAGAAGTGTACATAAGTCCTCAGTCACACCGTAGATGCAGGTAAGACTAAGGGACGCAATGAAAAGCAATTGGGAAGTTTTTATATGTGTGATTGGTCATAACAAACCCTAACACTGAATGCCCACATCCAAGAAGTGATGGTATCACACCTTAACACTCCCCCTGGCGTTCAGCTCTCTGCCAATCGAGTCCAAGCACGCAACATATCTGTTTGTGATCTTGCTTCCTAACACCTTCATCATAATGTCCACAATGTTTGACTTTCCCAGGACCGATGTGATGGAAATCTTGCCCAGGCTGACGTGATAATGGATGTAGTGATATTGTATGTCAATATGTTTGGCAAGTCCACCTCAGTTACCACCGCCATCACGTGGTTCTCCCCCCGCGGGGTACCTACTGGGTACCCTCAGACGTCTTGCTGAGGGTACCCAGTAGGTACCCCCTGGCGGGGGGTGGGGGGGCCATTTAGTCGATTTATTAGCGGGGGCATATGCGGGGGTCAGGAGGAGGGGGGGTGTATGTAGCATGTGACTTGTCCATAAGAGCGGGTAGCTGGGCGGGAAAAAAAATCCAATCACATGACGCGCTGCATGGGCGGGATGGCGGGATAAAAAAGCACGTGACAGCTGAAGTGATAATTTTTAAAATGTTGGCGGGGGCTGGCAGGGTGCTGGCGGGGGCATTACTGACCCCCCCGCATGCCACGGCGGGCGGTAGGCGCACATTCACGTGACCTCCTCCCATCTTTTTTGCCGCCATTCGGTGCGATTTTCAGGGCTCTCCACGGTGCACAATGCGCGGGGGCGGCGGGCAGTTTGGTCACGTGACCGAGCGCAAACAAAAAAAAAATAGCTGCCAGAGAAACCGGGATGCTATTCCAGTCTGTCCTGTGCCTCAAATATCAAAAAAGCGAAGCACTGAATGCAAAACCTGGACCGCTGCGCCCGCCGCACTGCAGCAGTGATGGGCATGATCCCATCATCTGGCGGGGTCATCTGCGGGGTTGATCTGTTCCATATTTGTACGCTCATGCTGTGGTTCATATTTGTGATTGAGGACATCCCTTGCAGAATTGGCTGCTTTGTTTCATGCGCCGCTCTTCCCT